TCACTGCCCCCTGGGTTTGTCTTTGGTGAGCTGCAAGTCTCGGGTAGCATCTTGCTTAAGTGTCTTCCATTTTTTAAAGTTTAATTCTTGGGTTGATGCTTGTAAATTGCTAATGGCAAATAGTTTTACTGATAATATTTAGACCCCTTAGGAGATGACTACTTCTCAGAGGTGTCCTTGAAGTATGTCTTCCAGGGGACTTCCAGCTGAGTCCGTAGTGAGATCATTCCTCCTCAGTTATTAGGTATAAGAAGTTGCTGCCTACTTGGCCCGGCCCCTGGTTCTTTAGCACTGGCTGGATGTACCACTCTGTAGATACCTACTCACGCACTGGTGTGGATTAACTCTGCTATTTGTTCATTCTTTGCCTAGGAGACTTGTCTAATTGTGAACATGGTGTTATGGTTTGTGTCTGGGTGTCCCCCCAAAGCCTCACGCGGTCATGGGGCAGGCTTTTAGAGTTTGATTGATTGTGGGTGTGGGAGCTGCGCCTGCCCTGGGGTGGATAGTTTGCATTTGTAAGGGAGAGGAAGAGGCTGCTTGGGGCCATTCCTCCCTTTTAGTGCTTGTTGCTTTTGCTGTGTTGTGCCGCCATGAGCTGTAGCCCTGTGCCATGTGCCACTCTGCCTTGTAATCTGGCAAATACGGACTGAAACCTCCACAAACTGTAAGTGAAGTAAACCTTTCCTTCCTTAATTTTGGACGTCAGATATTTTGTCCTAGTAACGAGAGAAAAGTAACCAAGACACGTGGGGTGGGGGTTGGGGATTTAGCTCAGCAGCACAGTGCCTGCCTGGCAAGCGCAAGGTCGTGAGTTCGATTCCTGGTACCGGAAAAAAAAACCAAAAAAAAAAAAAAAAGACACATGGGTGTTCAAGTCTCCTAATATGATCCTGTTGGTTTTTGTTTTTTTTTTTTTTTTTTGGTCTTTTTGAGACAAGGTTTTGCTATGCACTTCAGGCTGGCCTTAAGCTCACTTTTTAGCATAGGCTGGCCTTGAACTCACAGTGATCCTCCTGCCTCGGCCTCCCGAGTGCTGGAATTACAAGTGTGAGCCACCACGCCTGGCTTTTGGTGTCCCTGTTTTATGTCTAGTAGTTTTTATGAACTTGCGTGCACCAAAGTTTGGTCCATAGATGTGTGTGGCTGTATCTCTTTCTGCTGAACTGCTCCCTTCACCCGCTCGGAAGACCATCACTGTCCCTCCTGATCAGTCTTGCTTGAGTCTGCTGCGTCTGCTAGAAGACAGCTGTTCCTCCTTGCTTTGGGCTCTGCCTCCCTGCACTGCTGTTTTCTATCCTTTTTGCATACCCTATGGGCTTCCTTTCGAAGAAGTGTGCGTCCTGTCAGCAATACAAGGTCCCATTTTGGTGTAGATCCAATTTGCCAATCTCTGTCTCTTCGCTGGAGATTTAGACCCACTGACAGTGAGAGTCGTTATCGTAGGCATTCGCTGAAGCTTGTCACCGCGCTATTTTTATGCTGAGCCCTCTTCCCCCCTTCAGTTTACTGTCCCAGCAAGACGCACACTTCCCCCGGGGCCCTCGTGTGGGCGCCCTCCCTGTCTCTGTCCAGGGTTCCTCACAACTTCTCATGCTTCAGAAACACCTAATTTTTGCCACTGCCATAAAATATTCTCGTCTTTCAATTTTTAATTAGAGCAGAGTGAACTTAATTAGACCTTTTTGGTACATACTAACATCTGTGCAATCTATGTTTCATGCTTTTATTTTTATTTATTTATTTTTGTCTTTTTTGAAACAGGGTCTCCCTATGCAGTTTTGGCTGCCCTTGAGCTCACTTTGTAGCCCAGACTGGTCTCGAACTTGCAATAATCCTCCTGCCTCAGCCTCCCGAGTGCTGGGATTACAGGCGTGCGCCACCACGCCTGGTCCAATGCTTTTATCTTCCTTCATAGAATTTTAAGGTTTTGTTGAAGGTTCTAGCAGGTGTTTGCAGAATGTAAGAGCCTTATAGAGCAGCCTGCCTGTGCTAGCATGTAGTATCCAAGACAAAACGAAAAAGGCAAAATACTTTTAAAATCGGAGCGACTGCAAATCATCCAGCAAAAAGGAACCAGTAAATAGGAATGAAGGCTGTGTAAAAATGAAAGCTATGAGAAAGAGGGTATGAGTTTTGTGTTGTAATATTCTGCTCTATCATCTGGGCACATACCTGTAACCCTGGCACCTGAGAGGCTGAGGCAGGAGGATTGCTGTAAGTTCAAGGCCAGCCTGGTCTACACAGTGAGTTCAAGGCCAGCCTGAACTAAATAGCAAAACAAACCAAGGGCTGGGAATACAGCTCAGTGGCACAGTACCTGTCTGGCAGGCACAAGGTGCTGACTTCGATTCCCTGTATAAAATAAAATAAAATAAAATAAAAAATCAAAGCTAAGATTTTGCCCTACCAACATGGAAGATGAGAAATGAAGACAAAATTAGAGGGCCTGAGCTCGAGTTGCCGGAGGCAAGTGAAGACTTCAGCGCAGAAGGAACGCGTGCACATTTGGCTGTTTTGTTTTGTTTTGTTTTATCATTAGAAATAACTGTTTTAACCATCTGGCTGTTCTAAGTCTCTGCCATCCACAGTTCTCATTCACTTTTAGCACATTTCCAGATTCACGAGAAGACTCCAGCCGGCACTGCCGGTAACTTGGGCTCTCTGGTCATCTCCGATGGAAGCCGGTGTGCTGATCCGGCCGGGTATTCCGGACGCCTTCGCCCACAAGAACGGACAAGACCGGGCGTAACCATGTGACGTCGAGGGGGCCAGACCTGGCCCTGGTCTCGGACGGGGACAGCCAGGGACAGCGCCTCAGGGGCAGCTGGGGTGGAGCCGACGAGGGTGGCTGGGGGAGAGGAGGCTCGGGGTGCGCGGCCGACAGGGCGGCCCCAGGTGGGCACAGGTGAGCCCAGTGGGGGACGGAGGGGGCACAGAGGGCGGGGCGGCGGTGGATCCCGCCGCTTCATCATCGCCCCTGGCGGCGGCCCTCGGTAAGCAGAGTCAGGGACAGACGCGGGGGCCCCTGGAGACAGGTGCGGCCGGCTTGCCCACGACGCCCGCCCCGTCGGGGAGCTCGTCCCCGCGGCGACCCCGTCCTGCCCGGGGGCGGCGCGCGGCCCGGCTAAGATCCGAGGGCAGTCGCTGCGAACGCAGCGCGGATGCCCCACTCTGCCCGCTCGGGCCGAGCGCAAGGGGGCTTTTGGGGAGATCCTGCCGCTTGGACCCTGTTCTGGGCTGGGCAGGGCAGCACCCCGGGAGCGGCAGGGAGAGCCGGCCCGGCGCTGCCCGAAGCGCCCCGCGGCAGCCGCAGGACCGCCCCGCTCCGGAGAGCCGGGCTTCGTGTCCAGGAGGTGGCGCTCGTGAGACGCGCGGGGCGCAGCGGCGCGGACTCCGTCCAACTCTGGCGCCGTCCAGTGTCGCACAGGAAGCTCAGCACGTTGAAAAAGGGGGAAAAAAAACAACCCGAGGTCGAGGCCAGGCCGGGAACAGGGAGAGAGCTGTTTCAAACAAAAGCACGGACAAAAAAGCACGCAAGGGATGGAAGGGCTCACCGGCGCGCAGGCGCAGAGACCGCCTGTGGCCAACCGACGGCGGAGGGGATTGGGGACGCGCAGGCGCAGAGACCTTTTGTGTCAACCGACGGCAGCGCGGGGCGGGGCTTACGGCGCGCAGGCGCAGATAACCCTTTCAGGCCGCGGTTATGGGGGGGGCAGTTTATTGCTGCGCAGGCGCAGAGGAGGCTGCAACCGACCGTCGCGGTGCCGCGGCTGCGGGAGGCGCAGCTGGCACTGCGCAGGGCAGCGGCTAGCGGGAGGGCTCGCGGGGTCGCAGGTCGCGCTGGGAGCGGGGCC